GATGAATGCATGGACCAAGTAAAGATGGAGTGGTTAGGGGGACCACTGAAGCAAACCAGACTATTTAGTTTTTTAGTTTTTAATTTTTTTTTATTTTCTTTTTTGTTTTTTGTTTTTTTGTTTGTTTGTTTGGTTATTAATGAACAATGCTGCTTACTGGGGCCGACGGGAGGGAGAACCATATGGAATGGGAATTGGCACAAGAAATAAATGTCACTATGTTGTAACCAATGAATCCAATCTTTTTGAATCTCTATTTGAAACAGCAGTAAAATGGTGGTTAACGGTGTGTCAGACAAGTTATTATTACAAATTACAAATGCTTACACAGCACCCAGCTTAAAATGTATCAGTCCTGCGTCACATTGTATGCGTTTACCGAATGGTAACAGCTAGGGATGTCCGGTATTACCCTTTTGCGGTAGAGGAGGGGTGGTTTAGTGGTTAAGGAAGTTAAGTGCTGCCTCCTCACTAATGTGATGGGTTGAAGCAGTGTTTCTCAATTATTTTCTTCCATGTCCCCCCTAGGGGACAGAAGTTCTTTTACCCCGCCTCCCCCGGCATCTCCCAAATTGAAAGACTGTTAAAGGCCTGGTAATATTTATTTATTTATCTGTACAAACCACTGTATGAGTTGCTGCCCCAAAATGGATTACTAAAATGGGCTGCAATGCTGCCATCTAGTGGTTTATGTTCTTATACACAGCCATTTTTTCCCCAGAACTAAACAAAATTTTTAGCACACATCATTTGGCAATACCCAGGCATTGCATTTTTTTTTTCATTATCGGAGGAAAAACCGATAACAATTACAGATATTACACAATTATGCTGATATCAGGCCGATAATATTGGTCGGCCAACATCGGTTTCTGGATGGAATGCGACTGATGGGATGCTGCTGTCTTCTTCTCGTCAGAAACACTTTTCTGAGCAAGCGTCTTCACTGATTGCGCCAAGACTGAGACTTTTCTCGTGCATCCTTTGACCATGTTTCTGCCATCAACAACTCTGCTACATAACGCCAAATTGGTGGGAATCACCACGAGAAAACATGATCTGTTTGAACCCATCATCAATATCCTCTGTTTGTCAGAGGGGTTATGAGAATGGGAAATTGTACACGGACCCCTAGCTGCCCCTAAAAGAGCCTGGTGACACACTGGATCGCCTCAATCCCTTGGCACCGGTCAAGGACGTTCACAACCCTGACAGCCAATTCTTAGATATCTGACCTGGATAAATTGAAAAAGTCTCTCTGCTGTGGTGTCGTACTGTTAGACAAAAAAAACTTCTGTCATCTCTGTTGATCATGGGGTGTGTATAAGGAGGTGTACAGTCCGAAGTATTGTTTGATAAAAATTCATCATAGTTTCACTCTGATATAGTTAGTCATAGTTACTCTATTTTCACTGGTACAGGACATGCAGAAACACAACACCAGCAGCAAAAACACAGCTGCCCATAGCCATTGGTGTTGTAGCCTCTTGACGTCCTCTACCAGTAAGCTAACATTCCTAGCACGCAGTGAGCTGGTGTCAGAGCCTCGCAGAAGTCATGTAGTTGATGTAATATTTATATAGGCATTAAATAAAATGAGATTTTTATAAAAAACAAAAACAACCATTAGGAAAGCTTTCCATGTGAATACCACTCAAGCGTTGTCGTTTTACTAAACTATTCGTTCATTAAGCTAGCCGACTCTTTTGACTCTTAGGTGGCTGCTTGGTTTTGTGTTGCTGGGATTTATGATAATTTATGAACTAAACAAATGTAAATTTATGCTTTTCAAACACTTAGTCATGTTCAAGATAATAAAGTAAAATATGTAGTAAAAAAAACCCAATATTAACATTTAAATGTGTAATAGCTAATCAAGCAGCATTCAGAAACAAACAAATTAACTTTTGGGTTATACATTCTCCTTCCCTCCGTTAAAATACAGTGAATATTGGAATGGCTCAGTTCGAGACTAATTACCATTTATACCAGAGATGTCAAATTAATTTTGGTCCAAGGACCACATACAAACTAATTTAATGTCAAGTGGGATGGACCAGTACAATCATAACATAATCATGTATAAATAACCAAAAATTATGTTAAATAAATCTCCATATTTAATGGAATATAACTTTAGAAAAACATTTCCTGAACATGAAGTGTTTGTGTATTTTTTTTATTTTCAAAATTCATAAATTGGGTCTGATTGAAACCCCAAGAGTCCCAGTTTTGACCCTCGGGCCTTATATTTGACATCCCTGATTCTAGCCCATATATTCTACTTGGTGCCAAACTGGCACATCAGAAGTAGGCAGACCCCCTAGAGACTGAAGTACGTCTACCCTAACCCTGACAACGTCAATTTCATATAATAAGGGGGCATATAACATGTCCCTTCAAGTTGAGGGGTAAAGTTGCTTGTGACAGAATCAGAACAGTGAGCAGATGACATGCTGTGGTGTATTAGCTTTTATCACAGTCCCCCAGTCTTCTGGTAGACACTGCCGTCTAGTTTTCTCTGTGTAATACAACACAATCTCAGAAACAAGATGTTAAACTTCAATATGTCATAAAATGATGCTGTCAAGGTGAAACACAGTTAGGCTGTGCAATCCCCTCAGGTTTCATCCTCCAGAAGGAAATGAAGAGCACTGAAGTTTGTTACATGTTTACTTAAAGCAGATTTACAAACAACAATCTGCCTGGTGATCTTGCCGTCGCTACTCCATCAGAAATACTTTTCGGAGTTTGCCGTCAGTAAGAGTCATCGCTGCAGGGTAAACAAGTCTTTTTCATGTGCATCCGTTGACCTTGTTTCTGACAGCAGCGTTGTGTCATCAGCAATTCTGCTGCATAACTCAGTATTGGTGGGAGTCAGAGCTATGATAGTTTTGAGTTTCCCATCACAGTTTAGTTTTGGTTTAAAAATGTTGTTTCATTTGGTTACTTTTTATTAGTTTTATGAGTGAGGTTGCTAAATGTTTCGTTTAAAAGCTAAATTAAAGAAATAAATGAACAAACTCAAAAGTCCTTAATACAGGTTTTGTTCATTTATCATGTCACCAAAATTAACAAATTAAAAAAAATAATTATGAACTAGGCTTCTGAAGAGCGATGGGTGTACTTAGGGCAAGCCCTGTCAGCTCACATAGTACTGCTACGGCGAAATAAATCAATTTTCATATCAATCAAAATATTTAAAAAAATAATGAAAATAAATGGCATCTCTGTTAGCTTCTTTTTTTTCCCTGAAACTAATACATTTAAGTGAATGGGAAAAAAAACAATAGTTTCCGTTATTTTGTTAGTTTCCATTAACTATAATTGCCTTGGTGGGAATCACCATGAAAACCATAAACAGTTTGAAGAAGAGACGGTTCAATCCCATTCTCAGGATATTGATCTGATAATGGTCATATTTTAGGTATAACTTTAAAAAACAACTATAGCCTTGACTTTCGCCACATCTTCACAACGGACACTATCACCACGGCAACGGCAGCTTGCGGCATACTGGAGACGAAAAGAAGGACTGATATTGGTATCGGCGAATATGCCAAGTTACATCAGTATTGGGCATGAAAAAGTTGTATTCAGCCATCCTTAGTTCGAATCCTCAAATCTTTCACCTTGTTCACTAATATCCTCCGTTTGTCAGGAGACATCCAGGTCGGCTCTATTGCCTCCGATTTGCCTACTGTTGATTGTGCCGCAAACAAATTCTTACTGAATTCATTAGAGTCAATTCACC